TATGATGGCACGTTTGTGTGTTTTGGGGGTGGAAGCTGGAACTGTGGAACTAGTGGCATCTGTCGGTGGGTTTCCTGTATATTGAGGTGTGAAGTGTATCATCCCTGATGTATACTGTGGTGTCTAGGAAGGTGACGTGTGTGTTTGAGTATTCCATTTTTAGTTTGATGGATGGATGAAAAGTGTTGATCAATTAGTAAAATTGTTTTAGGTTTTCTTCACCTTCTGTCCATATGATGAAAATATCATCAATATAGTGATAGGATCTGTATGGTTTTTGTTCCGTGCTGTTCAGGAATTTTTCCTCCAGGTCAGCCATAAATAAATTGGCATATTGGGGGGCCATTTTACTTCCCATCGCAGTGCCCATACATTGAAGATAAATGTCTTTATTGAAAGTAAAGTAGTTGTGTGTAAGTATGAATTCAATGAGCCGTGTAACATCCTCAGCAGTGTATTTGTGGTTTGGTGAGGATGATAAGGATCTGTGACATGCAGCTCATCCATCCATGTGAGGGATATTACTGTACAGGGATACTACATCCATAGTCACTAGAAGTGTATTAGATGGTAATTGCTGGATGTTGTTGATCTTGTTCAGAAAGTCAGTTGTGTCTTGCAGGAACTAGCAGTATTCTTGACTAACGTGTGTTTTAAAATATTTTCTACAAAGCCTGAGATTCGTTCGGTGAGTGTGTTCTGTTTTGGCGGTTTTCCTTACCCCACTTATTCACTTGGTTCTATACAGATTACAAATGCAATAAGTGATTATAACCTTTTGTCTATACCTGAATTTAGCCAATGGTGTTAATATTAAAGGATAACAACTGTGCACAAATAAAGATCTCATTTATTTACACAGAAAAAGAAAGTGGCTGTTAATCAATTACAACAAAATATAACGTAGCCAGTATAACTTAAAAAGTAGTACTATTACTATGCATATACAGATTGTTACCAATACAAAGACTACAAGAAAGAGATAGTTACAAGAAAAAGACAGAGCAATGGTAATACATTACAGCCATCCTGATTTCTTTTCTTTTAAAGTCCGCAAACGTGCGAAAAAAAAAAAAAAAAAACCCGTAAGTGAATCACAAAAAAAGTGCAAAAAACACCACAAGAAAAAGTGCACTTAGGGGTGTGCTTTGTCCTTCCCCCGAAGGGGATGGACCTCTACCCTGATCCCCCGGGGCATGAAGCTCCTGACAGGGACAAGGTTCCCATTTGGTCCACCTAGCCAAAAGGCCAGGTGGACCACCGTTCCTTGTGGCCAGCCGAAGCCAGCCACACAGTACTTGGTCAGGGGGCTCTCCCGAAGAGAAAAACCCCCTAGGGACAGGGGAGGAAGGAACCAAAAGGCCACACATCCTCCCCCTAGACGTCAGGGTAGGCCCGAGGACCCACACCCTCCATTCTGTGAAGAAATAAAACGCACACATTACAGCCATCCTGATGTTGTGAGGTCTCGCTCCGGAAGGCACATGGCACAAAAAGGGAATTCCTCTTTTGTATTTGCTCTTTTATACACTTTACAAAAGACCATCCCTAGATCCACCCGCCCAAGTAAATTCACACCTCAAATAGGTGGGCTTCAGAGCAATGGCCAGTTCAGTTAAAAGAAAAACAGGAAATTCCAGTTGCCTCCCATCCCCCCCCAACTCAATTGAGTCTTTTAAGTGTAATCCCTCCCCCCCCCCCCCCCCCCCCCCCCCACAGCCACAATAACCTTCATGGAGGTGTGTTGAGGTGATACAACAGATGGTAAATATGTTACATAAATTGAGACCCTGAACAGAAGTTCACAATAATATTAAAATTATTATAGGCCAAAAATAGCCACCACAGTTCATACCTGTTATGATGGGTCTGCCTGGATTTCCTGGCTTGTGGACTTTGGGCAGCATGTAGAAGTCCCCGATTTCTGGATGATCCGGAATCGCATTCATAAGTTCTGAATGTAGGTGGGCTGCAAGTGTTTTAATGAGACTTTTTAATTGCTTTGTAAAGTCCTGGGTCGGATCATAATCCAGTTTCTTATAGTAAATGGCATTTTCAAGCTGCCTCTGGCCTTCTTGTATGTATTTGTTTGTATCCATCACAACAACTGCTCCCCCTTTATCTGCTGGTTTGATGGTGATGGCCTGATTATTGCACAAATCATGTATAGCCCTTCGCTTTAGTGGTGAAAGATTGTACAGAATTTTCTTTTGCTGGGTGGCTATCAGGGATGTAGCTCGCAGTCTGAAGCTATCAATATAGGTGTCCAGTTTGGGGTTGTGTCCTTGTGGAGGTGTGAAGCAGCTGTTCTCTTTCTTTGTGTCGCACTCCATTGTCCTAGGATTACTTTCATTATTGTGGAAATATTCTTTGAGCCTTAGTCTCCTGAAGAAATCCTCCATATCTGACATCACCATCAGAGAAAGAGGAAACTCGGTGATATCAGCAATAACACTATGATGGTTGGATAACTGTCAGAAAAAAGGAGGTGGTGGCAGTGTGAACTGTTAATTGCGTAATTACCCTGACCCAGTAATCTCTCTCGGGCTGCAAGTACACCGACTTTGGTCCATTAGCTGGAAATTCTGTGTGCAGGGCGCAGCTGGGCATGACATTGTTACGCACGTGACAGCGTGGTTTTAGATTGGCTAGTCCTTTGGTCATGAGTTTGGTGAGAAGGGCTGGGGTCTGACACCGCAATCGTCACACTGCCCACCAAACATGACTGGTCCTGTCCAGAAACACTGCCAACAGACTGGTAAATGTGGGTCGGGGGATACTTGGTGACATCACTGGGTGACCCCGCTTCCATATCTACTTGTCATTGGGTGAATGCAATTCTTGAAAAAAATATAAACATGGGGGTGGAGTTACTTGCCCAGTGCGTATTGATTGGTTTGTGTGAAAGTTATAGCATCTAGAAACTATGGGATATATATTGGATTTTTTTTTCTAAATACTACTTATGGCGGCAATCAGCAACTTATAATAGGACTCTGATAGTGAGGCGGGCAATCTGACACTAAATTTACAGGTACCTGTTGCGACTCACAGGAAAAAAGAGCATCTGGCTGTCAGGGACTGCTTGAACCTCTACAAAAAATGTACCTGCTAGTGCTAGTAGAGATCAGGCCTGATCCTGCTAACGCTGCAGTTTTGTGTATAATGTATCAATATAGAGAACTACTGACACTAACAGCTGCCGGCTCTTCCAGGTGCAGGTGCTGCTAGGCCGCCCCTCCCCCTTACTGAATGGGACTGCACGTCATATATCCCTGGAGGCACCGGGGCAGCCCGCCATTCACCTAGACTTATTCCAGAAGTCAGAGAGGGGGGTGGTCAACCATATGTAACCAAACAAACAAAATCTGATATCGATGAAGAGGGGGAATGGGGAGGAGGAAAGTGCCCTGGGAGGGTGAAGGTCCACTTTAAGGTTCAGTTATTGGACATCACCATTGAAATCAATGGAAGCAGCTGACAAATGTTGATGCCTCATGAAAGTGACATGCTGCTTCATTTTTACCAGGACATGACCCAATGCTACTGCTCCTGTGTGAACAGCACTGTGTGGTACCATTGTAATATTCATGGCAGGCATTGACAGGCAGTTATGAGGATTTATAAATGCAGCATAAACACAGGGTATTGGCACACATGTGACCGAGACTTTACTGAACTCTGTACCTACAGGCACCATGGATCAATTCATCATCAATTTTCACAGAATATCCAGTGAGATCCCTCAGGTGGGTTTCAGTAATCTGCTCCCTCCTCTCCTCTCACTTCTCTGAGTCAATCAGTTGTGAGTGGAAATTACAGCTTGAGCTACTGAGCTCTGGAAATAACATGGTTTGTGCAGTGATCCAGGAAAGACAAGCTGGAAAACATGTGGAAATGTGATTTCAGCTCCACCTGCTGGCGTGAAATGTAAATACAAATTATTTATATACAATATTTCATATTTACAAATCTATGAATGTAATGTTTTGTCCTGACCATAATAAAGACAGAAAGCTCTATACATTCCTCTGAAGGCAAAGACATCAGACAGTTCTCACTTCTGTACAAAAGGCCGTCCCATCACCAATACAACTCATACTCCCGAAATATCATCTGTCATTGTCTCCCTTCTGCAGGATAGTAATTGTTCAATCCTGGAAAGTTACCCATCCCCCATCACTACAAGAAATGATGAACATCCCTAACTCCCATCTCCTTTATGAGTCCTTGTCTGCCATACAAAGTCCCCAGGCTTCCTCTGTCCTGGTTCTGGGCAGTGAGTGCCCATCCCCCCTCTCTGTTCCTGGTGGGGGTTGTGTTCAGGTATTAAGGTGGCATCCTATGGACATAACCCCTCCGGAGTCCCTCCACAACCACATATTATACTATGTAGAGCTGGGCAGTCGACTTCATCTTCTTGTGTTTTGTTCCTTTCTGTTTGGTTTCCTCATTACAAATGATTTCTCCATAAAATGAGTAGAGCTCTCCTCTGGTGAGGATCGTCCTCCTTATATTCTCCATTTGGAGGGTTTGGACGATTTTTGAATTCGTTTTTCTGTGTGAAATCAACAAAAAAGTGGACTTTGTGTGTCATGTGTGTCTGTGCTATGAATTCTATCTGCAGATGTGTGACTTCACCAAAGACTTCTGGATCATCTCCTGACCAAGTTCCCCCTGAGTCCCCCTATGTCAGGCCTTGTCTGCTCCTGTTCAGTATCTGCTCATCATTTCTCTGTGTGATCTCAGTAATGATATGGGAGACATTCTACTCCAGAGACAAGCTTCCTACAGAGTGAATGGACTGCTGGAGAGATCTACACCCCTCCCCCTTCCATGGATCATCAGAAGGGGATTTACTGACTTTTCTCACCTTGATGATGGGACCCCCATTATCTTCTTCCTTCTTTCTTTTCTATGAGTTTTATGATGACCATACCCTAAGAGTTGTTGGTTCTTTCCCTAATATACTCTCATGTGTCTGTATTTGTCTCTGCAGGTTGGTGAGATGTCGTCTGACTTCCTCCTGCTGTGATGATCTCCGCTCCATTCTTATCACTAACCCATCCCTCACCAGCCTGGATTTATCACGTAATAATCTCCAAGACTCTGGAATGAGACTTCTGTGTGAGGGACTCCGACATCCTGGCTGTACTCTGCAGGAGCTGAGGTGAGAATTCTACTATAAATGATCTCATATTCTGCAGGACTTTGATATAAATCTTCTATGTGAGGGACTCCGAGATCCAGGAGATGAGGGGGGAATTCTACTATAAATGATCTCATATTCTGCAGGACTCTGATACAGTCATGGCCGAAATTGTTGGCACCCTTGATATTTTTCCTGAAAATCAAGTATTTCACACAAAAAAGGTATTGCATTAACACATGTTTTGCTATACACATGTTTATTCCCTTTGTATGTATTGGAACAAATATAAAACAGAGGCAGAAAAGCAAATATGACATAATGTCACACAAAACCCCAAAAATGGGCTGGACAAAAGTATTGGCACCCTTAACTTAATATTTGGTTGCACACCCTTTGGAAAACATAACTGAAATCAGTCGCTTCCTATAACCATCAATAAGCTTCTGACACCTCTCACCCGGAATTTTGGACCACTCTTCCTTTGCAAACAGCTCCAGGTCTCTCTTATTGGAAGGACACCTTTTCCCAACAGCAATTTTAGATCTCTCCACAGGTGTTCAATGGGATTTAGATCTGGGCTCATTGCTGGCCACTTCAGAACTCTCCAGCGCTTCTTTGCCATCCATTTCTGAGTGCTTTTTGACGTATGTTTGGGGTCATTGTCCTGCTGGAAGACCCAGGATCTTGGACGCAAACCCAGCTTTCTGACACTGGGCCCTACAGTGCGACCCAAAATCCTTTGGTAATCCTCAGATTTCATGATGCCTTGCACACAGTCAAGGCACCCAGTGCCAGAGGCAGCAAAACAACCCCAAAACATCATTGAACCTCCACCATATTTTACCGTAGGTACTGTGTTTTGTTCTTTGTAGGCCTCATTCCGTTTTCGGTAAACAGTAGAATGATGTGCTTTACCGAAAAGCTCTATCTTGGTCTCATCTGTCCACAAGACGTTTTCCCAGAAGGCTTTTGGCTTACTCAAGTACATTTTGGCAAACTGTAGTCTTGCTTTTTTATGTCTCTGTGTCAGCAGTGGGGTCCTCCTGGGTCTCCTGCCATAGCGTTTCATTTCATTTAAATGTCGACGGATAGTTCGCGCTGACACTGATGCTCCCTGAGCCTGCAGGACAGCTTGAATGTCTTTGGAACATGTTTGGGGCTGCTTATCCACCATCCGGACTATTCTGCGTTGCAATCTTTCATCAATTTTCCTCATCCGTCCACGACCAGGGAGATTAGCTACAGTGCCATGGGTTGCAAACTTCTTGATAATGTTGCGCACTGTGGACAAAGGCAAATCTAGTTCTCTGGAGATGGACTTGTAACCTTGAGATTGTTGATATTTTGCCACAATTTTGGTTCTCAGGTCCTCAGACAGTTCTCGTCTCCTCTTTCTGTTGTCCATGCTTAGTGTGGCACAGACAGACACACAATGCAAAGGTTAAGTGAACGTCTCTCCTTTTTATCTGCTTTCAGGTGTGATTTCTATATTGCCCACACCTGTTACTTGCCCCAGGTGAGTTTACAGGAGCATCACATTCTTGTAACATTCTTATTTATCCGCAGTTGTGAAAGGGTGCCAATACTTTTGTCCAGCCCATTTTTGGAGGTTTGTGTGACATTATGTCGAATTTGCTTTCTTTCCTCCCTTTTTTTGTTTTGTCCCAATACACACAAAGGGAATAAACATGTGTATAGCAAAACATGTGTTAATGCAATACGTTTCGTGAGAAATACATGATTTCCTGGAGAAATATCAAGGGTGCCAACAATTTCGGCCATGACTGTATATATCTTCTATGTGAGGGACTCCGAGATCCAGGAGATGAGGGGGGAATTCTACTATAAATGATCTCATATTCTGCAGGACTCTGATATATATCTTCTATGTGAGGGACTCCGAGATCCAGGAGATGAGGGGGGAACTCTACTATAAATGATCTCATATTCTGCTGGATTTTGGGATAAATCCTTTGTGAGGGATCCAGACACGTTCCCTAGATGACAGTTATACAAAGACAGACTTCTTGGCAGGTTACACTGGGAGACGCCATCATAGTCCTTCAGGTCACTGGCTGTTATTGTCTTTCCTCCATTCCACCCTCCACTGACTATCAGAGATCAGACTTTATGTCTGTCGAGGTGGATTGTTGTTTGGATGATATAAAACACAATGAAGTTTATTTGGCCCATAGAGACTGAGTGATGACATTTCATATCTAATAAAACACGTCCAGATCTATCCATCTACCAGACAAATGTTTCTTGTTTGTAGAACTTAGGAAATCAGATGTGTACTGACTAGTAGGGATGAGTGACTCTGCTCGGGTTCAATTCCCTGCAGGGTCCCACTGAAAGGGGAAGAGTGAGCACCCCCCGAACCATACCAGGCCACATACCTTCAACTGGGGGGGTGCTTTTGGGCAGGGGGACAGTATATCTGTTGGGAATGCAACAGCATGTACCATAATGTACTGTATATAGTATTTCTGTGTTAATATCACTTGACCAGTAGATGGCACTGTACACTAAGGTTATCAGTTGTGCATATGTGTAAGACTTGTTGGTTCTCTCTCTTCCTCTTCTCTATCTCATCTCTTCTCTCTATCTTCAGGAAGTAATATGTCTGCTGTTATTACAGCCTGCTGAAATGTGCTCTGTATGTTTGCAACTTAAGCCACACAAGTAAAGTCAGACTTCTGCCTCATCACTACCAGTGTCTTCTCTAACACATAACCAACAATATCCTCATATTGATGGGGACAAGAGCCTCTTCCCCACAACTCTTGCCCAATGGTTGTGGGGGTCTGCAGGTGGGGGGCTTATAGGAATCTGGAAACCCCCTTCAAAGGGGGCTCCCAGATCCCAGAAACCTCATGTGAATGAGTATGGGGTGCATAGTAACTCTACTCAAAAGAGAAAAAAAAAAAATCCGACCTGCGTGAGTAAAAAAAATAATAATAATAATAATTCACCAAAAAAAGTATCAAAAGCGAAGTAAAAACAGAAGCCTAGTTTTTGACAAATCCTTGATAAAAAGAGAAAAAAATCCAACCCGCACAATTAAAAAAAAAAAAAACTGCTGCCCACCAGGACACATCTGACTGACCAGTAAGCATGGGGTCGGGGGTTACCCAGTTACATCACCAGGTGACCCCACTCCCATGTCGACCTGTCATTGGGTGAATGTCATTCTTGAATGACAGATAAAATGAGGGCGGGGTTACTCACCCGGTGTATTTGATTGGTTTGTTGCAAAGTTATAGCGTCTACAAACTATGGGATATATACTGGAATATTTCTTTTTAAATACAACTTATGGCGGTGATCAGCGTCTTATAACGGGACTGGGATAGTGTGGCGGGCAATCTGACACTAATCTGCTGCTGGGGGAACTAACTGCCACTGACATCACCAGTGACATGATTCCAGTGATCAGTGCTAACAATATGCACTGTCACTGTACTAATGACATCTAGGGCAATCAAGGGGTTAATGTGTGCCTAGCAGGCGTTGAGCGTGGACTGTGTGCTGCTTTTACTGAGGATCTGCTTGTTTTCATTCCCTGCTTAGCACATAGATCCCCTGTCAGTGATCACAGCTCTGTGTTGTTTACCTTCACAGAGCCCATCACCGGGTCCTGGCAGTCAATCATTGGCCGGGACCCGGTGATCGGCATGTTCTGTGACGAATCAAAGCCCAGTGGTGGGGGCGGGTGCATGGATCATGTACTAGGTATGTGATCCTGTGCAGGAGAGCCTCTCTGCCACCATATAACTACATGATACGCTCGGCACGCGGATATTGCACAGACAAGCTACTTGTGACCAGAGGAAAGTGTTCCCACAACCCCAGTGTTACTATACGGCTGTGTAATGTACAACCAGCCAAGCGCCTGATCCCGATGCTTCCACATAATAATGACACAACAAACATTAGAATACAAAGCAAATGCTACATACACTATATGGCTGCTACTACCACAACCTCAGTGCTGGGAAATGTGTTGCAGCCAAAATGAATTTGTTATCAATACACTTTATGCAGAAAACAAACCACTTTATACAGGTCATTGATCCCAAATCCCCGGGTGCTGTCACTAGCCAGTAGTACCCCAAATCCAGGGCTGCAAACACCTGTTACAAACTAACACATGACTATTACGCTGCGTGTAAGAAACAAGAACTATTTTCAGGTAATTGATGCCACAACCCCAGTGCTGCAAATGAACTTATTTTGCTGCATATAAATTGGTATTAATACACTTTATATAAAGAACACAGAACTATATACAGGTCATGGATACCAAAGCACCAATGCTGCATCTGGCTGGTAATACCACAACCCCGGTTCTGTGCTTCTCCCCCCTCTGGGGGCTCAATGGGCCCGGGGGACTCCCCATAATACCAGGTGTCACCAGGGTGGGTTCCCTTTAAGGGATCTGCTGCCTCCTGATTGGCTGGATAGAGAACTCCAAACAAAACACAAATGTCCCCAATACTGAAGTATGTCCTTCAAAACAATTGTCTCTTTATTTACAATAATGCTCTGACAAGCAATAATATGTCCGCCTATCAAGCACCCGATTGGGCAGAAGATATCGCTCACCAGCACCACTTCCTGTGTCAGTTCCAGGCAGGAAATGACATCACTTGGCTCCGCCCGAGGGTGGGCGGCCCAATGATTTCTCGATATGCCGGCATATTATCATTGCTTGTCAGTGCATCTAGCAATCCTCATGGATTTTGCTGCATGGAGACGCAGGTCCAAGTAGAAGTCCCATTATTTCCTATGTGGCCGGTTCCCATCTATGTGCCGCAGGGAATCTATATGGAGCCATTCCCCCTCCAATGTGTGCATCACCACGTACGCTGCAATGTGTCCATCCACACTAAGACTTCTCAGGTGGGTGACAACTCCCCCCTCCATCTCACAGGGGAGGTCCAACCAATATTCCATGAGATCATCCATCCAAATGGGCCAACATTTCATCTTCTAAGACCCCGCCCACTGATTATCCATTGGAATGTGTCTACTTCTGCCCATCACTGGAGAACATCCCACCTCTCTTTCCTGCTTCTCCCACCAGAATAGCAGGGTGTGGTGTGCCATTATGGTGCTGTGATGATCTCTGCTCCGTGATCTCCACAAACCGAACTCTGACCAGACTGGGGGTGACATTGGATGGTGAGAAGATGTCGGACACAGAAGTGGATCATTGTTATCAGGTCCTCCGGAATGCCGGCTTCACTATGAATAGAAGGTAAGATCTGTTCTATTGGGGGGAACACATGATTTAGTCAAGGACTGAATCGTCCAGTGCTTATCTGTTCCTGTCCTAATTTATGACGCTAGCATTGGAATGTGCGCACACTGGAAGAGACTCACGCTGACACACAAGTTCAGTCTATGAATACTTCTAGTTTATTATAATGAGAAAGTGAGCTTATATATGCAGAATGATGCAAGAGTCATGTGACAACAGCATAAGCATTATATTAGTCTTTGATTGTTTTCGTGTGGAAATGAATATCCAATCTCCATCATGGTATAGGTGTGATCTTCTTCCAGGCCTTATCTTATAGGAAAACAACATTCCTTTGTTTCAAGTTGGCACGGTGGAGGGGGGCAGTGTGTGTGAGCAGACATTTCTTAAGCAAAGATTTCTTATAGTACCACAAAGCCCAGCAGGCAGAAAGTATTCACACAACATATGTATTAAAGTATAAAAGTAAATATTTATAAAACTTATAGAAATAGCGTATATATATATATTCAATAGGAAACGAAATAGGCATTTTACCAAATCCATCACACACACATACTGGGGGGATTTACTAAAGCTGGTTCCCTCAGAATCTGGTGCAGCTGTGCATGGCAGCCAATCAGCTTCTCACCTCAGCTTGTTCAATGAAGCTTTAGTAATAAAAGCAGTAAGCTGATTGGTTCCCTCACAGAAGTGCACGAGATTCTGAGGGATCCAGCTTTAGTAAATACACCCCACTAAGCCTGATGATGGCAGTCACACAGAATGGGTCCACGAGCCCCAGCAACTGTTCTGTATGATCATCATGATGGCAGTCACACAGGACAGGTACAGGAGCCCCAGCAAATGTACTGTATGATCATCATGATGGCGGTCACACCCACACAGGACAGGTACAGGAGCCCCAGCAACTGTACTGTATGATCATCATGATGGCAGTCACACCCACACAGGACAGGTACAGGAGCCCCAGCAACTGTTCTGTATGATCATCATGATGGCAGTCACACACATAGGACAGGTACAGGAGCCCCAGCAACTGTACTGTATGATCATCATGATGGCAGTCACACAGGACAGGTACAGGAGCCCCAGCAACTGTACTGTATGATCATCATGATGGCAGTCACACAAGACAGGTACAGGAGCCCCAGCAACTGTACTGTGTGATCATCATGATGGCAGTCACGCTCGCATGACAGGTACAGGAGCACCAGCAACTGTACTGTATGATCATCATGATGGCAGTCACACAGGACAGGTACAGGAGCCCCAGCAACTGCACTATAGGACCATCATGGTGATAATGATGATGATCATTGAAGGAAGGACAGTGAAATGTGAGCACAGATGGTTCAGAACTCGGCCAGTTGAGCGGGGACCAGCCGAGATTTGAACCATGTATGGGCAGGCTGATTGTATCCAAGTCAATAGTTGAATGGCTTGTGTACTCCAGCCTGTGGTATTTTTACATGTGATTATTGCTAGCAGCTATATGGCCACCAGCAGTAATCATTGTGTTGTCCAGGCAGGGATGGTTCCCCCCGAGATGTTTACCATCGTAAGTTGTACAGTCGCTCGGCAAGCAGGTAGACACAGACAGAGCATGCTCTGCTCTATGGGCGGTTGGGTGTAAATGGACTTCGCTGGTCATTACACCCGCCTGCCCTCCAATTTGATGGAGGAGGACGGATCCGCTTTCCTTTTTTCGCTGACCGACCGGACCAGTTTGGAGGTAAGCGGGTGTAAGCAGACACAAGTCCCTCTACATCTGCTACTCCATAGAGGTGAATGGAGGGTCCACCTGAAAAACGGACAAGCAGATCCAATCTGACCGATCGTGTGAAAGGGGCCTTAGGCCTCATTTACACTTGTGTTTAGGGGTATGGTAGAAATGTGCAGCTCAGCTGTGAATTTTTACCACCCCCAAATGCTCCTGCATATACTGCAAAGCAGTGGAGGGGGAATAGTATACACCATGGCCCTGATGATTTATTATCACCGCTGTTCTGTTGGCCCTCAGCCCGCTCCTGTTTTCCCAGGCTGTCCTGCTGTATGCGGATGAGTTGGCAACATACAGAGTGGGGGGAGGGGAACATCCGTGTCTCCCCCCCCCCCCCCCCCGTGATGAATGAAGCCGGAAGCTACAAGGATTATGTCACTTCTGGGTTTAATTCTGTGTTTACCTGGCTGGTACTGGCCAGGAATGCAGCCAATCAAACCGATCTGTGTATGATCAGGTGCCTTAGAGGGCAGGGGAGGGGTCAGGGGTCTGATAGACCCCATATCTCTCCATAAAGAAGACCTGTCACTGCCCCATCTATCACAAGGGATGTTATTCATCACCTGTCATAGCAATAAAATTGAACAAAAAATTCCCATAAAAAAGCAATAATTCTGCCACCAGACCTCCTGCCTAACTGTAATCTGGTAACCTGTAAAGGCTATTAAAGCGCCCCCTATGGACAATGTTAGGTACGGTACTCACCATTTACCAGATGTGCACAATATTCCATCTTGGCAAGTTTGGTATCTATTTACTGAACACATCATATGCTGTACTATTGCTGGGAAGACTGCAAATGCTAAACATAGAATATTTCAAACCAACACATTGCCAGAAATACAATTCTGCTACTCAAGGGGATTTATGGAGAACAGGCCTGGGGGCTTAGGTGGTTAAAGAAACACTTTGCCATTCTCCTCTTCCTCCGCATGGAAATGTTTGTGTAACCCCCCCCTCTTACTGTGCTGGTGTATCCACAATGACCATACATGCCCAGCAATTCCAGCATTGTTCTGATTGGCTGCCCCACTGCCACTTGCCAGGTCTTGTGTTGCCGCCTTCTCTTCTCTTTCTTGCAGCCAGCACCTGATGATACACCCGCTGTATGTCCCTGCTGCCGCAGTCTCCTGGGATATGTGACGGGTTACATCCCAGGAGGCTACAGGAGCCGGGAAATGTCATATATTTGTCTGGGAAGAAAACCACAGAAAAGGAAAATGACTTTACAGCTAAGAAGTGTCTTAAAGTCATTGGAAAGATTTTTTTTTTTAACCACTTCCAGCCCGCCCTACCCGCACACCGCCATTCATGGCCCCGGCTGTCAATCACCGGGTCCCAGCCGGTAATTACTCATCGGCGCACAGTGATTCCCAAGAATCTCCAACAGGGAGGACAATTGTTTTGTTTACTAACAGTCATCCTCTCTGTCAGCTCGGGCACACTGCACAGCACAGCCATCCAGAGCAGTGTGAGAACAGTGAAGCACACACCCCACCCCCTAGTAACACACACCCCCCCTAGTAACACACACCCGCCCCCTAGTAAAACAGTCCCAGCACACAGTTAACCCTTTGATCACCTCTCATGTTAACCCCTTATTGCCCAGAGCCATTAGTACAGTGTCAGGGGCTTTTTTTTTTTTTTTTTTTTTTTAGCACTGATCACTGTATTGGTGTCACTGGGGATGTCAGTGACACCAAGTCAGTCCCCCCCCCAGTGTCAGAATACCTGCTGCAGTCCTGCTATAAGTCACTGATCACCGCCATTACTAGTAAAAATTACAAAAAAAATTGTAAAAAATCCCAATATCTATACCGCCATTTGTAAACACTATAACGTTCACGTAAATCAATTCATTTACACATATTGGGATTTTTTTCTAGCAAAGACACGGAGAAGAATAGATTTTGGCCAAATTTGACAACATTTTTTTTTTGGACACTTGTTTAATAGCAAAAAGTCAGAAATATTGTTTTTTTTTCACAAAAAATACTCAGGAGGGCAGTGGTTAATTAAAATAACAGACACATTATACTGACCTGTTCTGTGTAATGGTTTTGAACAAAGCAGCTCTGATGGGTGGGTGGGGGGGGGGCTTTGTCCCCCCTTCTGGTAGGTTGCACGGGGCCCCATGATTTCGAGCAGTGGCCCTGATAACACCACACACAATGTAACATTTAATATTCACTCTTCTTCTCAAGGTTCATGTAAACAAATCATTGTGAACAATTCTTTTTTCCTTTGTTCAATCTAGACATGGACTCATCCATTCACCTTACCACTTGGTGTCATGTCCAGTCTTTATCTCGTAGCTGTCTGATCCCACCATACCTCCCCCAGATTTATAACCTGGGAACATAAGCTGTAACCACCTTGGAATGTTCTTAGAATCTGTGTTCAGAAACCATGAAATAGAAATATACAGAACAAAGTGGCTTCCAGCATGTCCATGTAGAGATGAGTTCAGGCCGTCCTGTTTCATTCTGTGAGCCCAGAACAGTTCCCACATTTCTGTAGAACCCATTGGTGGTCTCTGGGTTTATACAGATAATGAGAGAGATGATTGAGATGTCCTGTGCCAGTCACAGATTTCCCAGATGATGGAGAATGTCTTCCTCATCCCAAGTTGTATCATTACAGATGGGTGGATGAGGAATATCAGATCCACCACTAATAATCTTAGTCGGGTCCTACAATCTTCCACAAGGTTTTACCTTTAAAGAAAAAGAACTTTCATTAAAAATCCCCCCATCCCCCGCTGTCTATCCAATGTGTCAGTATAACTGAGCCAATCAGATGTGTTCTCAGCCTGTACACATGACAGCCCAGTACACCAGACGTAGTCTGATATCCCAATGGTTGGATGGCCATGAGTGTGCGGGGCCCCTGCCATGGTGAGGGCCCTCAGTATTAGGTGGGTAGTTCACAAGGTGGTGGGGCCCTATAAATGGGGGACACTTATCAAACCCCTTAAGTGTGAGGACAGAGGGGATGGTTTGGTGTGTTTGCATACTGGAGTCAGTTATGAAGAGATGAGATCCCACATCCCACCATCTACATCCAATCTACGTCAGATCTCCTCCCAGCATAGGAGACCACTGATGTACATTGTACGGCTGCAGATTTGTACATTACACATCGCACACATTTCCAGGAAGACAGAAGAATACTTCCCATTAGTGTGTATAAAAATGTCCATCATTTCTTCCAGAGCTCAGCACCAGCTCCCCCTTTTCCATCATCACAGCAACATTTCCTCCTCTAACACTCTCACATTTTATTCTTCATAGATGGTGTGGAAAATGGGGATGTATCTATACACAGAAGAAGATTAGAAAATGGTCTGTGGGAAGTCCTCCCCCCCTCAGGTAATACATGGACCCTGATATGAAGAGAATGTCCAGCATGGAATTATATCAGATTCTCCTGTTCATGGCACTGATTTTATTTTCCTTTTCTTCACATTCAGATGATGATGATTCTTCTGACTGATATCCACTGACCATTATTCCGGAATGATCTGAGCGGGGATCTGTCCTTCCTCCCATTCCTCCATTTTATATTGTATATTGTATTGTTACTCCTCAATGTATTCATTACTACAAAATAAAAATGGGATTTTTAGATCTTCACACCAAAACTGCCCACCACTGGTGAGACCAGCATGCTGGGAAATTCCTGTTCATGACATGAAGATTCCTCCTACACAAGTAGAAGACACTGAACACATGGTGACAGTGCGGTGCGGACAGTGGGGGGCGCTCTACATAACATATAAAGGAACAATGGGTGGACAGAAGATTCCGCACCACAAGGACAGAGGTTACCTTCAGAGACTAAGTGGCAAAAATACTGAATATTTTTGTTATAAAAATCATTTTTATTTTTTTTTGTGTAAAAAATATATTTTCAAATATAAAACCACAGAAATAAAAAACACATTTATCCCCATTAACCCAAGACAGTGTTAACTTCCCACATGACTTCAGACATCCAGATGTGGCCACATCAAATGGGTGGTTCGGCTAGACAGTGGGGTGACCCTCTACTGTACCGGCTTCCCCTCCCCCATATAATAAATGACCTCTCGGGAAAACAACAACTGCTATATAAGGCCAGCTGAGGCTACGCTATAGAGTGTGTTTATGAGCTGCAACAAGTAACAGACAAAAACAAAGCAATCCATGTATAAAGGAACACATCTAGTGTCATCTTCCAGGATTACAATAAGAATTGTCTCTGATATTGTTCCATCTGCAGATAAGGAGACTAAAGCCGACAGGGAGCAGAGTCCATATGAAAGTCCAGCCGGTGCAGTGTCCCCCTTTTCAGTTCATTTGTGTACATTGCGTTCGCAAACAATGCATTAGAGTATTCAGTGCGTTAGTGTACAGTGTGTTAGTGTACAGTGCGTTAGTATACAGTGTGTTAGTGTACAGTGCGTTAGAGTACAGTGCGTTAGTGTACAGTGCGTTAGTGTACAGTGCGTTAGAGTACAGTGCGTTAGTGTACAGTGTGTTAGTGTACAGTGTGTTAGTGTACAGTGTGTTAGTGTGCAGTGCGTTAGTGTACAGTGTGTTAGTGTAATGAGTTAGAGTACAATGCGTTTAAACCATAAGAAATGCAGTCACATTCCGGAGGAGCTACCGCACCAGGTATGATGAACATCCAGTAATGACCTTCTTTAGGCACTAGATGGCAGTAATGATACGGGCCCTCGCCTTGCATTACACAGTGTGGGGACGTTTTGGAGCCTGGACTGGTCTATGCTGCTGGGGATGATACTGCCATCTAGTGCCTAAAGAAGTACATTACTGGATGTTCATCATACATGGTGCGGTATGCACCTCCGGAATGTGACTACATTTATTATGGTTTATTGTGCAATAAAAGTAATTACAGGATAAAGCACTATGCTGAGATTTTGTTTATGAGGAATTACGGCTGACCCTTAGGTGGTTATCTGGAGGGGGCATCCTGGGAGATATTATTCAGCAAGTTGGTCATCAGAGTCCATACGTTAGGGACCAAAAGTGCAGTTAGACCAAAACTCTATGGCGGGCGCAAGTACAGTGAGTTAGTGTACAGTGCGTTAGTGTACAGTCTGTTAGTGTACAGTGCATTAGTGTACAGTGCGTTATTTTACAGTCTGTTAGTGTACAGTGCGTTAGTGTACAGTCTGTGTACAGTGCGTTAGTGTACAGTGCGTTAGTGTACAGTCTGTGTACAGTGCGTTAGTGTACAGTGCGTTAGTGTACAGTCTGTGTACAATGTGTTAGTGTACAGTGTGTTAGTGTACAGTGTTAGTGTACAGTGCGTTAGTGTACATTGCATTAATGTACAGTGCGTTAGTGTACAATGTTTTAGTGTGCAATGCGTTAGTGTTACAATTCCTTAGAGTATTCAGTGCGTTAGTGTACAGTGTGTTAGTGTACAGTGCGTTAGTGTACAGTGCGTTAGTGTACAGTGCGTTAGTGTACAATGTTTTAGTGTACAATGTTTTAGTGTGCAATGCGTTAGAGTATTCAGTGCGTTAGTGTAATGAGTTAGAGTACTGTCACAGAGTGCCCATGCTTCCCCCACCCCCCTTTGCCTGCTGTGACTCAGCCATATCCCTCCACCCCTCCCTCCCCCCTTGCACATTCCTCTGTCCTTGTAGCTTCCATGAACAGTGCTGGGCTGGCCGTTGCTGAGGCAACCTAGCAGCATCCTACATGGCTTTAAAAAGACTGGCACAGGAAGCAGCCCTCTTTCTTTGTTACTGTGCACACTGCTGGAATCATCTTGCTCCCTCCGCTGAATGTCCCAGGGTGGGAGTCTCCGCAGTTCTGCATAAGCTCCTCTTCCAAGGTCAGACCCCGCGGCCCTGCTACCCCCGCTGCTGTTCCTGGCCACTGTGAGGGCCCCTGCCTGCTGATTGCCGGCTCCTGGAGGAGCGGGCTGCTGTGAGAGTCCCTGGAAGCTGCCTGTTGCTGAGCGTCCACAAGTCGCCTACCTCCCTGGAAGCCGCCTGCTGCTGAGCGTCTGCAAGTCGCCTACCGTGAGTGTCCCTAGAATCCATGAACTGCCCGTGGTGTGCTCACAGACTACCCGTGTCCTGAACTGTCCCTGTTGTGCGCACCAACCTCCCCCGTGTCCTGAACTGTCCCTATTGTGTGCACAGGCTACCCGTGTCCTGAACTATTCCTGTTGTGCGTACCGACCTCCCCCATGTCCTGTTGTGTGCACAGACTACCCGTGTCCTGAACTGTCCCTGTTGTGCGCACCGACCTCCCCCGTGTCCTGAACTGTCCCTGTTGTGCGCACAGACTACCGGTGTCCTGAACTGTCCCTGCTGTGCGCACCGACCACCCGTGTTTTTGAACTGTCCCTGCTGTGTGCACCGACCACCCGTGTTTTTGAACTGTCCCTGCTGTGTGCACCGACCACCCGTGTTTTGAACTGTCCCTGCTGTGTGCACCGACCACCCGTGTTTTGAACTGTCCCTGCTGTGTGCACCGACCACCCATGTTTTGAACTGTCCCTGATGTGTGCACTGACTACCCGTGTCCTGAGCTGTCCCTGTTTTGCGCACAGACCACCCGGGTCATGAACTGCCCTACTACACGCCTAGACTACACTTTCTTAAACCACCCCATGGCGTGCCCAGAGTATAGCTACCTGTGATGCCCCTGAGTGCTTGAGCCATCGCTACCCGTTGAGTCCCTATGAACCCGATATCCCTAGAAAGCTGGGTGGGAGCTGTGCTAAGCCAGACTCCACAGCTAGAGTCCCGTTGAGTCCCCGAGACTCCTGCCCTGGGGAAGGTTGCCCGCCTGTTGCCCGAGACTCCAATCCGCTGTGCAGTCACGGAGGGAGCTCAGCTGAGGTGGGACCCTCGTGATCAGGCTCTGCCTGGGACCCCCCAAGCCTAGGGGGAAGATTGTTCGCCTGCTGCCAAAGACCTCAGTCCAAAGGGGGGGAAGACCGCACAAGCCACCCTGCTGGAGAAGACCCCCCTATGCATGGAATCGTCCCTAGTTTGCACACACATCACCCTCCCCATTTCCCCATTGAGTGTGTGTCATTTTGTTGTTTCAATAAAGCTTTGTGGGTTCCCCATCTTTTCTGCGTGTTCTGTCCTGCCTACGCTTCCGTCACAAGTACAATGCGTTTAAAACCATAAGAAATGCACTCACATTCTTAGGGTACAGTGCATTAGTGTACAGTGCGTTAGTGTACAGTGTGTTAGTGTACAGTGCGTTAGTGTACAGTGCGTTAGTGTACAGTGCGTTAGAGTACAGTGTGTGTGTACAGTGCATTAGTGTACAGTGCATTAGTGTACAGTGCATTGGAGTAAAATACGTTAGTGTACAATGCGTTAGTGTACAGTGTGTTAGTTTACAGTGCGTTAGTGTACAGTGCATTAGTGTACAGTGCGTTAGTGTGTACAGTGCGTTAGTGTACAGTGTGTTAGTGTAATGAGTTAGAGTACAATGCGTTTAAACCATAAGAAATGCAGTCACATTCCGGAGGAGCATACCGCACCAGGTATGATGAACATCCAGTAATGACCTTCTTTAGGCACTAGATGGCAGTAATGATACGGGCCCTCGCCTTGCATTACACAGTGTGGGGACGTTTTGGAGCCTGGACTGGTCTATGCTGCTGGGGATGATACTGCCATCTAGTGCCTAAAGAAGGACATTACTGGATGTTCATCATACATGGTGCGGTATGCACCTCCGGAATGTGACGTCATTTCTTATGGTTTATTGTGCAATAAAAGCTTTTAAAAGAAAAAGCCCAAAAAAATGGTTCCATCATTGTAATCCATCATCAATCGTAGCGTCCTGTGTTGTCCCAATGACACCGACTCGCTGAAATAAAAAAAAAAACAAAAGGACGCTCGCCGACCCATTCGCACCCGCCGAGCACTCACCACAATATGACAGGTCTGACAGTTGCAGGTCAGATGTATGCAATAGGGAGGAGCTAGCGGTGATGTCAGCAGTGACGTCACCACTAGCCACGCCTATCCCCCCTCTTTCCTGCCATGGCAGGCCTGTGCTTAGATCAAGGGTCTGGTAAGGTCAAGGGGGGACCCCATGCTCCCCCCCATTTTGGGGGAGTGGGGTTCCCCTTAAAACTACTACCAGTCCTAAAGGATATGGTATGGCTTTTAGGGGGAACCCCACCCACTAAAAGGTCTGGAATGGACAAGTTTTTTTTAATTTCTTTTAAATTAAAAAAAAAATATCAGTCCAGCTGCAGCAGGTTCTATACATTGTACAGATCTTCAGCTTTGCAGGTATCACCCCTGTCTGAAGCTGCAGTTGGCATTACAGAATTATCACCGTGGATATTGGGAGTTGTGTGTGCTCCTGAGAAAACTCTGCCAATGGTGATTCACAATTGTCTGACACAGAAAAGACTCTGCTGCAGCCTTTCACCTTGTGACTTGCTAAAAAGTTGTACAATATGATCATGGAGGGGGGATGGGACAAAATGTAACACTGATCTATCAGCACTGACTTCTGCTCCCCCCATCCACTGAAGCTTCAACACCCCCACAATGACCAGGAATACATCTCCATGTCATGATTTCTGTGTTCTATCACCGACACGTCACATGTACAAGAGAGAAAAAACTTTATTCACATTAACATCTCCTTTCCTGACTCCTCCTCCATCACCAGGACACATCGAGTGATCATAAGATACAACACCACAATGATACATTGTATTAGGATCCATTATAAGAGGGATCCTATAGGATTCTATTAGAGATTCATTCTACGGGAACATATTACAGTAGGAGCCATTATAAAAGGAATCCAACAGATTTTTATTAGTAGATCCATTCTATGGGAACACATATTAGGATCCATTATAAAAGGGTTCCAGTAGAATTCTAATGGGGATCCATTCTATGGGGACACATGATATTGGGGATACATTCCGGTACCATTCATCAGATGATATTATTATAGTCAGATCATTATATTGGGGATAGATCCCATGTTTTCTGTCACTAGTAAATCTCGGGATCATTTCTTCATATGTTTCCTTGGAGATTTTTCCATCGATTTTCATCTCTTTCTCTCCATTTATAGATTGATTATTCATTTTTATTTCTTCACACAATAAAATCATCCATAGAACAAACTCATTGTAAATGTATTAATAATAATGATAGATAGATAGATAGATAGATAGATAGATAGATAGATAGATAGATAGATAGATAGATAGATAGATAATAGATAGATAGATAGATAATAGATAGATAATAGATAGATAGATAGATAGATAGATAGATAGATAGATAGATAGATAGATAGATAGATAGATAGATAGATAGATAGATAGATAGATAGATAGATAGATAGATAGATAGATAGATAGATAGATAGATAGATAGATAGATAATAGATAGATAGATAGATAGATAGATAGATAGATAGATAGATAGATAGATAGATAGATAGATAGATAGATAGATAGATAGATAGATAGATAGATAGATAGATAGATAGATAGATAGATAGATAGATAGATAGATAATAGATAGATAGATAATAGATAATAGATAGATAGATAGATAGATAGATAGATAGATAGATAGATAGATAGATAGATAGATAGATAGATAGATAGATAGATAGATAGATAGATAGATAGATAGATAGATAGATAGATAGATAGATAGATAGATAGATAGATAGATAGATAGATAGATAGATAGATAGATAATAGATAGATAGATAGATAGATAGATAGATAATAGATAGATAATAGATAGATAGATAATAGATAGATAATAGATAGATAGATAGATAGATAGATAGATAGATAGATAGATAGATAGATAATAGATAGATAATAGATAGATAATAGATAGATAGATAATAGATAGATAGATAATAGATAGATAGATAATAGATAGATAGATAGATAGATAGATAGATAGATAGATAGATAGATAGATAGATAGATAGATAGATAGATAGATAGATAGATAGATAGATAGATAGATAGATAGATAGATAGATAGATAGATAGATAGATAGATAGAACATCCCTCCTCACTGGCCAATAGGAACATGTCAGTCCGGTAGTTGGACCGATATTCTACCCAATCACAGTGATCAGCGACAGAGGGAGAAATCTCACTTATTATTTATAGTAGAAAAGCCTGAAGGACACCAACTGAGGCCCCACCCACTGCTTTATCCCATTGGCTGAACATTCAACCAAATCACATCTCTCCTCCCTGTGACATCACCAATCTCTGGGAGGAATCAAATAAAAACACAGAATGGAAAGTGAGCGCTATAGGATAGCTGCTGTGACACCAAAAAAGGTACCAAAAAACCTTCTAAACCAGTAATATACAAAGCAGGTGCAGCGCTGAGATAAGAATGTCAATTATCAAATAAAGCGCAATGAATCAAAAGGTGGAAAGGCAATTATAAAATATATATGAACCAGCAAAACAATAATAAACATATCACTGTATCAAATAGTATTCAAAGTGATTATAAGTGCATGTAAAGTGACCATAAATCATGACATTAATGAGTCCATAAAGGGACAAGGTGATGACAATATATTGTCACTGCAAAGTGACCAATCACCAGATGCGCAATCAAATCACGCATTAAAGATATAAACTCTCAATGGTCAGCCGGAGGTCCTCTTAAGGATATGCACAGCCTGGTCTGGAGTTCCCTCTCTGAATCATCAGTGGTCAGCAGTACCTCTAATACTGCTTAACCACCCACAGAGCTGTGTAAGGAGAATGATAGAGGTACTGCTGACCACTGATGATTCAGAGAGGGAGGACCTCCGGCTGACCATTGAGAGTTTATATCTTTAATGCGTGATTTGATTGCGCATCTGGTGAGTCCGCAATTCTTCTATTACCCGGCACACCACCATATTATTGGATATAGAAAGCCGATCACTATACTTTGAGATCATAATACTGGATCCTAAATTGCATCAATTTCCTTTTTGGACATTGATTTATCACTATTGTCACTTTATTTAGCACCATTGGTCACTTTGCAGTGACAATATATTGTCATCACCTTGTCCCTTTATGGACTCATTAATGTCATAATTTATGGTCACTTTACATGCACTTATAATCACTTTGTATACTGTTTGATACAGTGATATGTTTATTATTTTTTTGCTGTGTTCATATATATTTTATAATTGCCTTTCCACCTTTTGATTCATTGCACTTTATTTGATAATTGACATTCTTATCTCAGCGCTGCACCTGTTTTTTATATTATTAATCTCTGGGCGGAGTTCTCACATCTCCCAATTCCTCCCACAGATCTTTATACAACCTCCCAATACCCATACCCCAGCATGGAGGGGCTCAGTGAAGGTGGTGGTGAAGGTGTGGAGGTGTCGGATCGGATCACACAGATCATAAAAGGAGATCCGCCCGGCCTCATAATCCAGATATATCCTGACTCTGGTACTGGAGAGATTGGAGGGTAAGAGGCTCACTTTATTGTTATGTATTATTACATAATGATCATCAACCCTGACCAAACCCCAGGACTTGTTGTTTTTTCCAATCTCTGACTGCCCTCCTCTCCTGTCTATACTGGGGTAACACATCCCGATTCTCCATCTATCTGACCCCTCGACATCCACTTCCCAATAATGTCTCCCTGAGGAGAAACTCCGACTGCTCAACACCTGAGGACAATCCTGAAATCTCTCTGGTGTTTCTGAATGATTCTGGTATCTATCTGACCTGGATACAGTTTTCCTGTCATCTGATATCTGTAGAATATTATGAGCTGTGTTTCCATCCAGTAATATGTCCTCAGCTCCCTGTATATAGAAGGATACATTTCCCTCTGTTATTATATCAGATAATGTGTGTAATGTGTGTGATATCCCAGCCACATCCAGCCCCCCTCCATCATGGAGGAGCTCCTCATGTCTCTCTCTGTCCTCATTATCTCCATCCTCAGTATCACACAAGTCACCTGTGTCTGATTCCTGTAGGACAGTCAGTGGATCCGTCATGTTACATAGCTCCTCAATGTC